CAAAGGCGGCGGCGGGGTGCTCAGGCTGCCCTCGGCGGGCGCTGGTCTCCGGGGCTCTGCTCTGGCAACTTGGGGCGTCGAGGGAGAGGGGAAAAAAATCCGTTGTCTGTCAGCCTGACCGGGATAGCGATCGTCTTCCACTCTTACTAGAAGGAGCGCACAAAGAGAGCGGATTTTTGTTTATCTGGCGAAGCACATCAGGAAATTCCCAGCAAATAAATACCGTGAACTCTATGAAGGAGGAGCTTAGCTGTGGAGTGAAAGCAGAGAATTTTCTAGTCTTGACACGGTCCTTTTGTGTGTGTGTGTGTACATGTATGTGCACTTGTGCATTTCTGATGCCTTTTTTGTCTCTGTGTCACCAGCTGTCTCCATTCTCAGCTTCAAGGAAATATTTGCTGTATCTGCTGAAGTACACCAGGCTGAGGAATTTTCACATCACTGAAAGTACATTGTACAGCTAAACAGAGAAAGAATGTATACCAGCATTTGGGTATAATACATGAAACCAACCACATTGTCTAAGTTTATTTTGGAGAAAGAAAACTTCGTTAGCACTTAACAACAGTTTTCCTGCGAGGCAGGTCAGTGTATGACTCTTACAGAAGCATATATTAATTATTTAAAATTAAGTACAGGCAACATTCCTCTTGTGTTTCTTTCTTTTGTGAAAATACTAAATTTGGAACTGACTTTTACACATATCATTGTTTGAAACAGAAACAGGAGGGAAAAACATTACTTTAAAGAAATCTGAATATGAGTGCCCACACGCAAACTGCAGAGAAGGGACAGAACACGACACTCCTGTGCCAGGAAAGCTATGTTTGCAGTGGGACAGATGAAGCAGTCTTTGAGTGTGATGAGTGCAGGAGCCTGCAGTGCCAGCGTTGTGAAGAAGAGCTGCATCAGCCAGAAAGGTTGCGGAACCACGAGCGGACCCGTATAAGACCCGGCCATGTCCCGTACTGTGACTCCTGCAAAGGTGCCAATGGGAACATAATGCATGCCAGTATGACAGGCTCAAGGCAGATAGCAGCAGTGAGGTGCCAGGTGTGTAAAATCAACCTCTGTGTGGAGTGTCAGAAGAGAACACACGCTGGGGGGAACAGAAGGAAGCACCCTGTCACCGTGTACCATGCTGGCAAAGCCCAAGAACAAGAAGAGGAGGAGGGGATGGATGAGGAGACCAAGAGAAGGAAGATGACAGAGAAAGTTGTGAGTTTTCTCTTGGTGGATGAAACTGAGGAGATTCAGGTAAGAACTGTTGTGGTTTGTTGTGAACAGGAAAGATCCTTTAGTTTCTTTCTTTATCTAACAGGCTGCTGTGATGCATGGTTTATACTTGAAATGTAATTGGCAGCCATGGTAATAAAATGATGGCCGGTAAAGTGCAAGTGCCACTGAGCATCTTGGGCTAAAGAGACACGGTGCCTTCAAGTGGCCTTGCTCGCGAGTTCCTCAAAAGGTCAAGTTCATTAAAACCTAATGTGTGACAAGAGCCTCCTCTAAGAGGCTTGGTAAGCAAAGCTGGTGAAAGAATTGACTCTGTACTGAGACACACATAACTAAGATAAGAGCTGTGCAGGATGCTGATCATTCCTGAACAAAATTGAATACATTGTATTGCAGTAGGTGTCCTGCAAATGGGAGTGCTGGCAGACAATTTCCTGCTGTATGATTAGAAGAGGGCACTGTACCAAGTGCAAAACTACAGCCCATTTCTACCATTTAGCACCAGTAAATCCATCTGATTTTTAGGAGTAGAACAAAATAGAAATAAGTGTCCGAAGTGTTCCATCTAAGTCCTACAGACACCATGGTTAAGCTATGTTGCTTGCCACAAATGTTATTACAGGTTAGCCTTTTGTTGAACGAGGGGGAAATTGCCATTGGGGTAGGTTTGCTGATAAAAATGATAGGAACTAGTTGATTAGGAACAGGCTACCCAGAGACACTATTTTAGAAAGTCTAGCATTCAGTATATGCAGTTATAGAATTCTCCTGTTGGCCCTTACATTTGGTAAGCATTTTAGAAGGCAAAATGTTTGAATGCCACAGAGCATATTAATTACACAACTAAAAATTGAACTTTTTTTTCTGACTTTCAGTTTGCATTCCTTATGTTAAATCTCATTCAGGAGACACTGAAAGAAAATGTGTAGTCACCTGGAGACTCAGTATCAGGTTGCTCTAATTTAACATCCTCATGCTACCATCATTAAAAAGAATTGTGATTATATTCTTGTTTTTGATAGTTATTTGTATCCATCATAGTAACAGCTGATGTGCCAGTCATGCATCACAAGGAAATGTGACTTAAGTATCTCATATCTATTCTATACTATAGAAGTGTGTGTACATACATATTTATGTATAATATAAATATGTATGTACACAGTAATTATACAATAATATAGAATAGTTGCAAGATACATGGGTCATATTTTTGGCAGTTCAGGTGTACTGATTAATAAACTGGCTTTTGAAGGGGAAAGGGAGGAAAGGATGACAGTCCTTATGGTGCACTGACGTAGAACATACACAGTGCAGGACAGCAGTGACTGTAAACTGAATGCCTGAGTTTCAGGTTTGTAGCAGTCTTAAGTTTGTATGCCTCCAAGCCCTAAGCACACACTTTTCCTTGTAAAGTGTGACAGATGCAACTATTTCTTACTTTAAGATACAGACTTTTCAATAATTCTCCTCTGGCCACTAGAGCAAGCTCTGAAATGCCTTGGAACAGGGCTGTCCTGCAAAGCTGCTCACAAACTGTCTGTGTGTGGTTGTACTGGTTTAAGTTATATTTATACTCATGAATCTGTAAGCCTTATTGAGGTAGACCTTTGGCTGCCTCCTGCAAGCAAGTGCATTTGCTATTTAAATGTCATGGGCAATAAAGCCAACTTCCTTATTGGGACAGCAGTGGTCCTTTATCAGATCATAGCAATTTGGTCAGAACAGGGTTGGGTTGAAAAAGCTCTCCAAAAATGATCTTATTTCACTATCAAGATGTTGAATCAGAGCTCTTCCATCTGGAGTGATCTTCTCTTTCTCACAGCTGAATACATATGTGACATCTCACAGCCAGTATCAGAGCAGTTTGAGAGATTTCAATTAAATTATTTTCTGACAGCTGGAATTTAAAGAGTGCATGCTATTACAGTGGTAATTCTGCTAGTGAACATGAGGACCTTTATTTAGAAAGGCCTGTCAGATACCACAGAAGATGTCTTTAGAGCTAAGTAGTCATCTGCTCTTGATAATACTGAGGAGCCAATTTAGCTATAGGAAAGTGATCATCAGTCTTTTATTTTATGCTTGTCATTACTTGGAGAGAAATCATTAGAATGTTCTTTATTAAACCAACTTTTTTGTCCAAAAATGCCAAAATATTAGTGACTTGAAATATGGAGGTTCAGAGTTTGAGAGTGTGTAGCTTTTTAAGCTTGAGCAGACAGGATAAGATTTTAACAGAATAATGTAGTTCAGCTATCTTTAACTGCTTAGTGACCTTTGGAACTTGAAAATTGTTGCATTAGTTGGGAAATAAGAGAGAAAACTGCTGACTTACTGTCAATGGTAGATTCTTCCATAGCAATGTTAAAAGTTAGAAAATTACAAATGGCAAAAGCTACACAACTCAACCACCATTCCTCCCCCCCACCCCAAAATTAGATGGAACTAGTTATGCTGCTGGAGCAGCAGCAAATGGATCGAGATAATCACTGATGTATATTTGTTTACAAACATCTAGTTCAAAAGTATGACATGGGGATACAGGTCTAAAAGATTTGTTTTTTAGTTTTGTTTGGAACCTGGAGTTGTTAAGCTCAAGTGGTTATGTTTCATCTTACTGTTCCTGTTGGCTTCTTGGAGGTGGTAGCTCTAAAACTGAAGAATATTTATAGTGTGTAAGCAAATGACTGTTCTAGTTCTAGATCCAGAAGCGATGTGGATTAATCCGTAAGGAGCTGTGCCTGAGCAAATTGGTTCGGGGAGAGGTGGAAATTCTCAGTCTGGCCTCAGCACTACACAGATACAGCTATGATAATTCTGAGATCTGCATAATTGTCTTTGTGCCATGTTGCACAGATGTGCTGGCCTGCTCAAAGCTTTTTGTGCTTTGCAGGCATAGCATAAGCTCAGAAAGCTGAGGACTTCTTGTGCTTGTTCAAATCCACATAGACAGAAAAGGTCCCCTTTTAAACCACTGCTTGTTTTTAAAAAACCAATGACAGTTAAAGTTTCTGTATCTGTGAAATACAAGGTTCTCTGTGATCTTCATCATAACAGTATATCTAAGCACTTCAAAAAGAGGTTGGCTATCTCACATTAAAAAAAATGTTGTTAACATTTAACAAGTTTGCACTGCAAGCCTGTGGAAGAACAGAGAGGGAGTTGTTCCTCGTGGAGTCCAGCCCCAGCTGTCTCACACCACACGGTGCAATGCTTTGCAACTCTTGTGACTTAGTCCCCAGGCATCCTGACCTACGTGATGAATTTTTTCTTCCTTCTTCCAGGACTTGTCCTCATAAGACCTCACTGACTTCTATCAGAAAACAAATCTTGACTGTTTTATAAACTGACATCACCTGGAGTTGATCTTCCACTTACACTGCTCTCTTTACATCTTCCACATCTCCTGTTCGCCTTGTTAGACTCAAACTGTGTGCCTTCTTTTTTTCATATGTGTAAGTCCTTCAACTGAATCTCCTGATCTGCTCTGCCAAGATGTCAGCTTTCCTTTCTCTAACTTCCTGGATTCTCAAACAAGCACCATTGTGTTGTCACTAGTGCAGCCCCTTGTGCACAGGAGGTACTTCCCATAAGAAGTCAGAGTCAATTAATTGGGTTTTTTAAACTGGTATTTGTGTATCTGTTAAGAAATACAACAACAAAAACATGACTCAGTTTGTGATACTTCTTTCAAATCCTGAGGCTGTGTTACTGTCCCATGAACTTTTCCACTCACCTGGATCTGTCTTTGTCTCTTGTACTTATATTTATGCAGTTTCTTGAACAGTTTCCATTTTTGCTTTGTCTTTATGCAACACTCTAGCAAAAGAGCTCTTTAGCATAAAGCAGAGTTATGCATCTGTTGTACAATGAACTTTTATTTACTACTACTTTTGAGGCAGGGCTGAATGCTTAACAATGTGTAACAACCGCTTGTTATTTTTATCTTGGGGAACAGATGTTGGGAGTTCTTGCCACAAGATGAGAACTTGGTTGTAGGGTCACTAATGGCTTTTATGATAACACTTTTTCCAAAGCCCTAATTAAGGACTCAGCACATGTGCTTAATAGAAATAGAAAAAGTCTTTCATTGATCCCAGAAGATAGAGGACATTCTTGGTTATTAGTAATCTGCTTCAGAGTTTGCTCATCTTTGACCAGAAACAAGCTCTGTCACAAGAAATTACCCAATCTGTAGGTTGCAAAACAAAAGAAAAGGTAATGACTTTGTGGTCTGACTTACTAAGGACACAAGAAGAAAAATTTATTTTTTTCTAGCTAGTTAAAAAAATTATTTCCCCAGCTGTGTAATTTTATCAGGGAAAAGGAGTGTACATTTATTGCTATGTCTCCCCTGAAATACACATATGAGCTCCCTTTCTTCAGCTTGCAGGGTCTTTTTGTTGTGCCAATAGATATCTCAACTTCCTAAATATAGCCCCATTCCTTGAGGCTTTTTCTACTCTTTCTAGCAGGTCTGCACACCTTAAGGACTAAGGTTTTCCCCTCAGCAAATATGGGCAGGATCTATGTAATGCTTTGCAGTCAGTTAAGGTAACACAGAAGATCCCACAGCCCTTATCTAAATGCAGATAATTTTGTACAATCATTAAATAAGCTGTTACTACAGCATAATAGTCCATGTGTCCTCCTGTGTCCCCTCTCGTTAAAAAGTTACACATACATAGTGATGACTCTGCTGGGTTGCTAGCTGCTTTGCTTCTCTCATTCCTCCTCTAAACCTGGTAGAAGTACCATGATTTTTCTGTATTATCTACTGCTTTCAACCTGGATAAAGTCTAGGGATGAGAGAATGGAGTTTCTAGGAATGCTTTTTCTTCTCAAGTATTCTTTGTCAGTTAATGGGAGCTAATGTTTGTGTTCTCTTATGAAAGATGGTCATGATCTCTTCAGTCTGACTGCTTGCATTTGTCCAGCAAATAGTGCTAATTCCTCTAACACTTTTATGTCATTTACTGTTGGGGAAATGTGTTTTTGCTGTTATGGTTTTTTTCCCA